AGGCATCGGGACAATGAAATATGACGAATAAACCATTGTATTCTCGATTGATTAGTTTTATTGACTGATTTACTGCATGCATCAGCACAATGTAAAAAGCAAAGAACATCACCAGTAACTAATAGTGGGAGCATAGGAGAACATATAATAACTTATTGAACGAGCAAGAAGGGCCGTGTAGTAAAATGTGAATAAAAATGTACGAAAAAAGAATGCTAGCGACGCTTGGGGGGTGGGGGGTGGGGAGCATTTTGCACTTACATAGTGAGCTTTTGCTAGTTCATGTCTACTCTGATGAAACCTGGAACTCTTGTGAAGCTGCGTACAACCGTAGGTGAATCTCTTTGAGGGAATTCACAGGCCTTCACAAGTTGGGTTGTACAAGCTTCGCTGGTATGGTGCCCCCCTCCACCAAGCCAAACTGCGCAGAAAAAAAACAAGTGGACCAGTAAGAATTACAATTTATAGCATCGCAATCAGACGGGCAGTGGCAGGAGTGGCGGAATAAGCGCGCCCTCGGCTTCTGTTAGTGAATGGTCTTTAGAAAGACAGCAACCAATGGAAGAAACACCACCGTCGGGCTCATTTATCGTTTGCTGTAACCACTCCCACTATAAACTGTGAATAAGGTAGCAGTCAAGGAAAGCGATGTGTGTCAGGAGTCATCGTCGCGCAGGAAGTGGGTCGCCGCGCGCGGCGAAAAACCGGATCCAACGCGTTGTGGAGATATGTTCGATGACTGTTTCGCCCTATTCGGAAAATAATGTTCTGCTGGAATCATTCCTACCTTACGAAACTTACTGTATCAAGTGGTAAGATACCTTATCTTCACACGGCATTGTTGACACAGAGTGCTGGGTCGTTCTACGACACTGTTTAGTATGAAACTTCGATGAGACTGACGCTGTTTCAGGGTGTAAGGCGCACCCAATTAAAGTTTTGTTTGCTGCAGATGCAGAGTCGGGTCGGTGCAGTACGGCCTGGTCTGGGGGTTACGTGACAACCCGAATTTTTGGTTGAGGTCCTGCTGTGAAAGGCCAAAGCGCACAAAGAAAGATTGGTCGCCAGGACATCGAGAGGAATGAAGAACATGTCCCGAGCCAGGAGACGATTCCTTTCAAAAGGAGAGGACACCAGGGTGAATGAGCCACTTATTATGCGTGAAATGTTGGAATGTGAAAGGTCAGGGAGGTCACAGAACGCCATGCAGACGTGAGAGCGCAGAGAAAAACAGAAATTTGGACGCCATCAAAGGGATTAAGTTTTAGTTGTCTGTAGACCGCTCCAGCCCGTTCTTCACCAAATATTGAAGCACACAAGCGACAGCAACCGAAGAGCAGGCTAACGCCGCGCCAAACCCGCCTCCTCTGATACATCCCAGCGTCTGCAGCGAAGATCAGGCAAAGGACAAACTATTATTATATGTGTAGATTTTCGATACCTGAACCTATAATGTCCTGGGAATTGGGAAGCACGCATCAGGGCACTTGTGCAGCAGTCACTCATGTAGACTATCCATATAAAAGCCTAAGCCTCTGATGTTTATTCTCGGACAAGTAATTCGCGCTTGCGATTATTAGCGACTGAGCTACGGTACCGGCAGCGAAACTCTGCAATGTCGCTCTTATACGACGTGATTATGCAGAAGTTATACCAGCTGTTCGATTTGTACATTTACTTGGTTTTTATCCACTTTGGCCTGTTTTTTACTGATGTGAGCGTTACATCTGAATCAATGGCTTTGTGAATAGACATACATAAGTGTAAACGATTTATCCGTTATCGTCGCTCACTTTCAGGTTGCATTCCACCGCCATTTTCGGTGGATTGCCCGAATCCACAGCATGGCCTTACTTGATATCGAGTCCGTTTCTCCTCAAATGAACAACGATTTCAATGTCAAGATACTTAATTACAAAGTGTGGTTGACGATGGAAAATACGCAGTAAGTCTTTTTAGAGCCGTAACCCTTTTTTTGACGGTTCTCAGAACTCGGTGAATTTTTTGACCACATTGGCTAAAATAGATTAGACTGCACTATTGAACCATTCCTAGCCCAAACTAAAAAAGGTTTTTTGCTGAAACTCTGCCGATAGATGTTATACGACGTCCTCATCTGAATGTGACCTTCATTTTTGGCGCTGGCGCCATTTGGCGCCAATGGGCGCCAACATGATGCCACCAACCACTTTTCTCACCAATGACGAAAACTTTTACACGGATTTATTGACATCCTGATCACAAATATGGCATTTACTTTTGAAGCTAACGCCATTTCGCGCCACATGGTTTTTCCCCAAAATCGATGAAAATTTGCGTAATAGGGTTGTTACGGTGGCTCGATCAGAAATATGGCTTTTATCTCTCGACAACTACGCCATTTAGCCTTCTGCTAAGGCCGAACCTGGAGAAGGAGTGATTCCCTTCAGGCCAGGCTCAGCCTCAGCAGAGCGCAGATGATCATAGTGTCCTACATTAGCGCCGGCGCCAGGAATAAATGTCATATTCGTAATCAGGATGTCAAATAACCACCGTATATAGCTTTTCATCGACTTAGATGATTCACGGTGTTTTGGCGAATTGATATACATGTTAAGGAGGTCAAACTACCCTAAGGGGCAAATTTTCACCGAATTTGATGATTGATGATATCTTGGCGCCAGCGCTAGTGGCGGGGGCGCCAGGAGTTTCGAGCTAAGCTGGAGTGATATTCGTGTTGAGGGGGTCGAACTACCGCATTGAGCAAATTTTCAGGCAAATCTACCTTCGTAGAAAAAAGTGTGTGGGGAAAACAGCTTGATTTCGGAAAACTGGGGTAGGAATAGTTCAATAGTGCCGAATTTTGTATTTTTGCGACTTTCATGGTTACCAGTTTTGACTGCGTTCATTCACTCAGAATCCGCAACATCGGGAGAAAAGGGCTGTAGATAAACAGATTTCTATTCTAAAAATCCCTTAGAGTAAACAGATTCCCAGTATACAGAATCTCTCAGAACGCCACAGAGGAGAGGATCAAGTAGTCAATTTCTATTTAGTCTTTGCCGCCGATTTCGCCAATTATCCCACCTGCATTCCTCTCGATATCGCGATTTTCCCAGTCGATGGTGTACATTCTCTTTCTCCGCCCATTCACCTATTCTCCAAGAGAAGCCCCGCGATTGCATAGTGTGGGAAGGCTCTCAATAACGAACCTATAATCGCTAAGTAACCCTCTAGGGAAGAAACAGCATGGATAACACCGTAAGTACATGTTCTCCGGACCTGCTTGTTTCATGCCGGCAAAGCGATATAGCGCCGCCTCAAGGCTCACTTTTGGTTTTTTTCGGGTAATCCAATGCTTCTAATATTTAATAGTGAAAAAAAGATCGAAAAACACTATGTAAAAACTTAACTCATGGCAGAAGTAGCCTTTGGATTTCGGTGTACGGAGGTAGGTAGGGAAGCGTCAGAGCTGCCACTTATGAGGACCCCAGCGCCTTCTATGAAGCCGCGAAAAAGTCATTCACAAGATTGTGAGCAGTTTGCTTGGTTAAGGAAAGACGCCTACTAAATGCTTGAGCGCGTGACTGTTTTCAAGTCTTCTTCAACAGGAACGCGACTCTCAGAAGTTCTAGCTTACTATAATATTCCACTATTGATCGATGTGGTGTTACTTAGCTGTCACACTTGTCGCATTTATCATCTTTGAATCACACCAATCAAAGTTTTGGGTCTGCTGTGGGGAAATGTCGCTCTTTGTTATGATTCAGCCATGTTAGCTCATTGATAACACCCGATTTTCTACTCGGTTTGTTTTCAAGTGGAGTTTCATTAGGGTTGGATGTAATCCGTGCCTTGATATGAGTAGGAAATGAGCAAACCCAAGATCGAGGTGTCATAAGAATTTGGTAATCGGTTTTTCTTTTCAGTTGTATACCATACAACTAACAGTCGATGGCTATACATGGGTGGTCGAGCGTAGATACAGTGAATTTGATGCGATGGATATGCGTCGATTCCCAGATCGGAAGAAATCTTTTCTGCCGCCGAAGAAGTTGATTAGGAACCTGGTGGGTTCCAATCCATAATTTTGCTTTTCATTTTTTTACATCTGCTGGTTATTTTTTATGGGTGCTTTCGTTTTTGTATTACATCGGCTAAAGGCGATGTTCGGCTTAGGAGGTAAGAGGCATTTTTCATTTTCGCTAGCACCCTTTGCTAGTGCATGGGAACTAACAAATCTCTCGCTGCGACCTGTGGACTTGCGCAAAGCTACAGAGGGGTGCGGGCTGAACCACTTTGGTTACAGGGATTTCACAGGTCCTCTACGGGTGACAGCTGCCGGGGTATCGTTTCATGGTCCCACCAAATAGAACCGCCCGTTGATGTATAATTTTGTTAGCGCAATGGTCCCTACTCGGCTAGAACTATGAAAAGCGCGATTTTGTTTTAATTTTCATTAAGTCAAGCTTTACAGCAACGCACAATCGCACGCCTCGCGTTCATTCGATGTTCAAACGCCTACTGTAGACCAGGTAGTCCTGTCCACAGCGTGGAGATGTACTACTTCCGCAGGTTGAAAATAACGGAAACCGCCGCTTGCTTGTGGCAGAACCGCGTCCCGCCTGCTAGCCACGGCGACTCCCAACTTTCATTTTAAAGTGCTACCTGGTAGCACGGATGTTTCGCTACCGATTCCTTCTAATTTGAAAGGCGAGAGTGAGGTGATAGATAGGGAGAAAGAGCTGGCATCGACCACTGAGAACTCGTCCGACCACGCCCTTTCTTCGCCTCGTGGACGTACAAGCGCGGCAGGCACGGGGGCTCAGGCTCTGTAAGAGGCATTTTGGGGATTTTTAGGGTTTTCTCCCTTCCTCTTGTGCTATTCACCATCTTACGGTTAGCATTTTAGCCGCAGAGATACTAATCGAACGCGGGCCGTGCATTTGAAACATATTAGGCTACCCTTCTCAGCTGTTTTACCTCATAAAGCGTTGATTTACTGAAGGCTTCGTTGTTGTCAGTCTCCAGTCGAAAAGAATTATAGGATTAGCCCTAAGTGAAAGCCCTCGTTAGATACGTGCTCGTTCGACTCATTTTTACAAAACAGCACTTACAGTTTTGTAGTGAATTTGTCCTTTTGACGTTTCGAAAATTTTTCACAGCTGCTGCTTCTAAGCTGTTCCTTTTTTGGTGATGGGTTTTTTTCGGTGATCAGACGATACGGCTCGTAAATAACTGAGAATAACATAGCGTAAAGTTGAAATTGTTGTGCTGTTGGACGCAACGTTATTCAAACAAACTCTATGTTTTGATGTGCAGGCGTTCGGCATTTCTCTCTCATGTGAAAATGCACCGTTCCGTGTGGAAATGTTTGTCTTCCGTCAGCAGGGTTTTGCCGCTGTGCCGTTGTGAATCCATTTTAAAGGGATTAATGCTCAAGGTACCGAATTCGGACTTCGAATTGAGGACAGGGAATCAATACAGTTCTGACAGTGAGAGTGGCGCTGTTTGGCGAATGGAGGGAGGGGGCATTTTGTTGCACTTTCACTGCTGCACTAGTTCTGGTTTTCAGGCTTCACTCTGGTAAAGCCTTTGAACTCTTGTTAAGCTAGAGTAAGCTCGTCGAGCTACCGTGATAAAACCAGCCAACCCGTGTGAGCTCATGAAATAGTTATTAGCAAAATGCAAAATGCTCCCCTCCCCTCCGTCGCCGACCTGCGGGACAGGGGAACAACAGTTCTGACAGTGAGGGTTTCTAATATGTTACTAATGCCAAATGCTCTGATCTGTGTTTTCTAATAAACCACTGGATTCAGTGAATGCATCTTGCACGGTCCAACCTGTATGTCCACGTCCGCTCTCGGCTGCTTGATAGCGGCGTCATCACCCCTTTAGTGTCGATCTTCCGATCCACGTGAAGGGTGTCCAACAAGCATATAAGACGTCATTTGAGCCACACTCTGGGCTCTTCGAGCTGACATCCCGTCCCCTATCAGCCCTCATGCGAAATAAATAGCTGCACCGTCGAGGGCACGTGTTGCGCACCTTGCAGTTGATGTCATCGCATTCCTAAATGCAGTTCCAGAGAGGGTGAAATGAGCCTACTGGTGGCGGTCCCACCACTGGTGCTTTTCTTTTCGAAACGATCCATATGGGATTACAGTTGATAAACCAAGTCAGGAGGAGCGTGCTCATTCCAAATTTCCTGAAATTGGCCCCACTGATTGCGAAGTTATCAACTGTATCTGCTCTAGGAGCCTCACCGGTTCTTCTGTTGCCACGTAGAAATGTGCCTTATTTTACGACTGTTTAGAAATTCGCCAGGCTTGTTATGCCTTCACCACCTCTCCTTCCGCCATTTCGCTAAACTTCTCTTTGTTTCTGTTACGTCTGCTCGCATTCTTGAAATTTATGAACTTGGCTTTGTACCAGCACAATCCTCCACATATTCATTTCTTTATTTTACTTTTAAGTCTCGCGTTGAGTAATTGATATGCGCCCTCAGCCTATCTTGCTCTAGAAATCAGTTCTAGGACTGTCCTACTCCCAGCTTCACAATAGAAAACGAAGGCGCTGCGACCTTCATAACTGCAGCTTTGATGCCTCCGTAGTTTTCTCGCTCACCGAACCTCAAGAACTATTTTCTGTCACGAGTACAGTTTTTACAATATATTTTCGGTTTTTTTTTTACTGTCAAGTGGTAGCAGCCGTTGAGTTGGAGGGCTTGGTGGATTCGCATTGTGACATAGAACGACTCCTGTGAACTCGTCCAAAAAGGCTGACCTGTCCTTACTTATGGGGTTCTCCACGACTTTTTTTTTTGCTGAGAGAGTCATTTAGCGTTGCAACTTAACGCCACTGTTCGCAGCACTCAATCGCTGTCTTCAAGATTCATTGACCGACTTTCTCTACTTCCATTTCACATAAGATTTTGCATAGACCTTGCTATACAACAATGGGCGCAGTTCGGCTCGGTGGTGGTATCGAATAGTTCAGCTAACCAGGGAAGGTCGTCAGGTCGAAGTGGCCATTTGTAATGAGATGTAGCTCACTAGACGTGGTTTTGGACGCTGATCTCGAATCTGCCTTCGAAATTTGCAGAACGATTCTCTGAACGGAGTTATGGAGCTTTTTCCACCGCGTTTACCACGCAACAGGTCGTGGGATCGGATCCCTGCTGAGCTTAACTTTTTTGCTTCTTGTGCAAACGTGGCAAAAAGTGGTTGTGGCGTCACTACTACATTAGCGCTCTCCTTGACTTGCCTGAAAAGCAGTTTGGGTTTCTCTTACTGGCGCGCTTAGTGCCTTATGATCTAGGAGAATTCTTTGGGTGTACAGGTGCCCTTGGCGCGGAGTGCAGGCGTTTTCGCGCTGAGCGAGTGCCATATTCGTGTTTATCGGGCTAAACCACGCCTATGTAGACGTTTCTAGCCAAATCTGGCATTTTGACCTGACTTCGAAGAGTGAAGCATGGGTTAGTTAGCATGGATTAGTTCAGTTGAGCTGCAGATACATTCTCCTGCACAGAGCCTCGTCTCCCCTCTTCTTACGCATTCATGTTGTTACTGCTCCAGTTTTCCTGGTATCTAAAAGCAAATTCCGTCCAAAGACAAGCAATCGACAAGAGACTGGCCCTGGAACTATTGGTGACCATCATTCGATCAACTGCTACCGCACTTTTCAAAGTTAGGTCAAAACCTCACATCTGGCTAGAAACCTGTCCCCAAGGGTAGTTTTGCTCCTGAACACGAATATGGCACCCATTTGGCGTTTGAGTGTTTTCTAGACTTAAAAGAGACATTCCCCACAAAATGCAAAAACAAGTTCCCTTCCAGAGGATTTCGAAACCCTTCATGGCATACCCGCGAAGCAAAACCATTACCTGTACACCATGCCACCGTTTAACCTAAGGCTGCTTCCCGGCTATTCAAGCGAATTGCCTGGCAACTGCGCTCGACTCTGTTTTCCTTCATTTTAATTCTAACAAACCTTCATAATTCCGTTCAAGAATCGTTCTGCAAATTTCGAAGGCAGATTCGAGATCAGCGTCCAAAACCACGTCTAGTGAGCTACATCTCATTACAAATGGCCACTTCGACCTGACGACCTTCCCTAGTAAGTTTGTGCAGGTCAGCTTGTGAAGACCTGTACATTCTTGCGTAAAGTGCCCCCTTGGTCCCAATGCTGGCAGCTGCCACAAAGACTGTTATTCAACGTGAACTAACAAAAGCAACTAGCGAAAGTGCCTCTTTCAAGCCGAACAGCCTCCAGTAATCCACTTTGCGCTTTTTTTTTCTTCGCGAAACTTAAAACACAGCAAGCAGAAATACGTTTCTGCTCACTCTACATTGTTTTTGCGATCTATCATACCAAAAAAGTATTTAGCACATAAGGTATTTGAATGAGATTTGTTCCATTTAGGATGCGGAGTTTCTGGAAGAACGTCGTATGGAGTTGGAAAAGTACTGCCGAGCACTACTCGAGCTGGAGGTTTGGTATCAGAAACAAAAAGAGAGTCAATTCATTACCTTCCTTAACGCCAAAGTTCTTTCGATTTTCCATCCATACTGAGTGCGGTTTCTGTTAGGAGCTGTTCGCTTAGAGTGCGTTGGGGTAAGGGCAACTTTCTAATTCCCATCGGCGCGGAGACCTGTGAGCCCTTGTGAAGCCATGAAATTGTACTTGCTGAGGTTCACACAGGTCCCCTTGTGAAGTGTACACTATCAAACTCCTACCATTTCGTGAGTTTAGGAGAGTTTTACTGGTTTCACCAAGGAGAGTGTGCTCCTCTGCTTTCTTCTCTGCACCCCCCCCCCGCCCCCTCTAAGCCGAACGGCGCCTTTTTTCAGTGGTCGTTTTCCCTGTGACGCTGGTTGCAACGGTAAGCAAGGTTAATTACAAGTGAGAGCTTCTGAATCCTGGTTATAGCTGAGCACTTGATCTAGCTCTACATTACCGATGAATTCGGATTTCTTCTCCAGTTTCTGTGCGAATTTGAATGAGGTCAGGGACGAAGCGAACCATTGCTGTTTCTAGTAGTACCTTTTTTACGCTTGTCTCTTTCTTTTTCCGACTAACGAGTTCTTCAGGGTGTTGCTTTTCATGTTTCTATCCTTTAGCTTCAGCTTATGCTAAAAACATCAATCTTTTCATCCCAAAGATAGGATAAACTCCCTCCTCTCCACCCTCTCCGCGCTCTCAACAGTCTTGAAATTTAACTTTTTTTTCTGGTTCAGTACTCATGTTGTAGTTTCTGGAAGGAAAAGTCTACCGTTAGGGTGTTTCTTCACATCTAGGCTACTGCCCTCTGACAAACTCCTTCTTTTCATGTATTCTTCACATGAAAGATTCCTTTTTGTGTAGGTGAAGGGTTTTTTGTCAGAAGGAATAGCTGTCAATCGGAATGCATGCTATGCATCAAATATGGATTCTCGTACTTCCTGATATCTTTGCTGATTGTTCGAGCCTTTGCGGACTGGCGTATGTCCCATGCTACTTCCTTTGCAGTACTCAGTGTAGTAGTAGTCAGTAATAGAACCATAGTAATCAGTCAGTCAGAACCACTTGAGAAGTGTGTATTACACGAAAACAAAAACCCTTGTTTTTGAAAACTTTGTTTTGGAAACTTTGGAACAAAGAAAAACTGATATTAAGTAAAAAGAAAAATTTTTGACCCGCTAATCGCGCGCTACATATGGTGTGCCTGAGGTCCACTTTGGATTAAATATTATATAAAAGAGCGCTGATTCGAAGCATCTTGTTGTCTCCTCTCTAGCAGTTTCCTTGGTTTTCCTTGTTTCCGGTCCTGGTTTGGATTACCTGTCAAATGAAATTTCAACACATTCCGGACCGCCATTGTGCGAGGATCTCTGCATAATTTAGTTACTTTCCAAACCGATAGTCAGCAATTTCATCTGTTTCTTTCACTTTTTCTATGACGATATTAGGTTGTCCGGAAAGTTCTGCACGTTTCGAGTGTTTCACTTTAAACGATCATAACTTTCTTAACACTCATCGGATTTAATCCAAATAAGCACCATTCGAATCAGCACACTTTTGCCAATGTGACAGCAGTCGAGAAATCCCATCAAAGAAAAAAACTGGGTGGTCGAGAGTTCACGAAATCCACGAAGGCTTTTTTGCCTGGTCCTGATTGATGAAGTATTTTCCAGCAAGGGAGTTCTGAAAATGTTAGAAAAGGTGATAGTCGGTTGGTGAAAGGTCTGGAGAATATGGCGGGTGAGGTAGAACTTCAACCCCCAATTCGTTCAATTTATGGATAGTGATTTGTGAAACGTGTGGGCGGGCGTTGTCATGCAAAAGAATCGGACCCTTTCTTTTGATAAGTGTTGGCTGCATCTGACAAAATTTTCGGTACAATTCGTCGATTTCTTCACAGTAGGGTTCTGCTGTGATGGTTTGGCCTGGTGATAAAAGTTATAGTGGATCACACCAGCCGATGACCACCAAACCGTGACCAGAATCTTTTTTTCGTGAGGGTTCGGCTTTGAAAATTACCTCGGTGGTTCGTCGGAATCCAACCACTGTCCGGAACGTCTGTTATCATACATGACCCATTTTTCATCACAGGTGACAATTCGGTTCAAAAACAGGTCGTTTCTGTTGCGCAAAAGCAGTGAAGAGGAAACCGCGAGACGTGCCAATTTCTGCCGTCACTCAAATTGTGGGGCACCCACTTATCGGGTTTTTTTTTTACCTTCCCAACGCGTTTCAGACCATCTGCAACACTGGATTTGTCCCCTTAAAATCCTCGTCAGATATTGCTTTAGGTCGACCGCTATGAGGTTCATCTTCAAGGCTGAAATCTCCAGAACGAAATTTGTTGAGCCATTGCCGCACAGTGCTTTCTCTAGCACTATTGGGCCCCCGGATTTGGCGGATTGCCCCAGTTTATAGTCGAAGAAAAAAAATCGTCCGAAGTGCTCTTTTCACATGCTTGAAAAATCTTAAAAAAAGGGGTTCATCAAGCAATGGTGAAACGGCAGTTATACCATCAGATAGCGCAAAGAATTCTCTTCAGGATGTACTACTGAGACGCAAGGGAGAGTGAGTTTTTAATCAGCAATGAATGTTCAAAAAATAGTAACACAAAACGTGCAGAACTTTCCGGACAACCTAATATTTGTATTCCGTCTCCAAAAAATGTGTTCTGTTACATTCGCCGCACGAGTAAGATGCCAAATAGACCGTAGATGTTGATTGATATTTCCTTTGACAGCTATTTTGAGCCTTCGCACGCATGACATTGTCCTCAAAGTGTTTCTTTGTTACGATTGTTTACGCATATGGTGAGAGCATAACTGCACGACAATAATGAGAAGGCGAGCCAATACGCTGGATTGTTTTCGAGATCAATTCTCATTTGGAGGGGCATGTGAGTCGCTTTATTCAGATGTCTGGGGTCTGTTGAGCGTGGATATGCAGCAAGGCGAGGGGACACGAGTGCATGGTCCTGTCATTGAGCCTCAGCAGAACACCGACTGAGTTCTTCCTTGAAAACACGTTCTCGTCCTTAGACAAGGTAGTCAGCAGAACCGTGTACCATCTTCGCGATCCAAAAGCACGCAATAAGGACGCTACACGCTCATGGCAGGGGCAATGCCCCGCCCACTGCCGAATGCTACGAGCAGCGTTCACTGTTGGTGCTGATGTTTCACTGCAGCTCTTCACTGTGTGCTAGTAAAGGCCCGGATCGACAGTGAGTCTTGTCTAGGGTGGTTAGGGAGGCCTTCATTCCTTCTTTCCTTCACTACTGAATCACTTACCACCTTGTCATTATTTTTGAGCCCCACTCTTACTTATTTTTTATTGCGGGATGTGCCTTTGAGTGGATGCTATGTGATCGCAATTCGTGCCACAACAGTTAGACCTTGGACTTGGGATATCCTGCAGACGTCATTATGATGATAGGCAAATCTTTCAAGGCGAATTCACAAGAAATGCTACTTGCTTGAGAACATGTTCCATAGGGTTCCTTTCCCCTGTGAACCTGGCCAGAGAACCCTTGCACCAAGTGATTCTCCATCTGCTTTCGTACTCTATGTGGGGATTTCTTTTCGGAATTACTGTTCAGTTGAGGCTGCCGGTAACCACTGAAACACCGCTGTAGGTAATCTGATCGCTGTGGAATGTCTCAGATAGTATTCCATGAGCGTCAGCCAAGTATTCCATGAGCGTCAGCCATAGCTGTTTAGCCGTTTCTTCTTGTTCTCATGTTGATCAGCTCCAAGATTATTCGGTTGGGAACATTCGTCAAGGAAAAATGTCCCGGTGTCAGGGAAAATTCGTGAAGTTCCTCTAGACACCAGCGTTTTTGTCCAAACGCTGCAGGAGCTGTTAGACACTGTCTCTTCCTTCGCATGAGCTGGTGCCATTTGAAGAGGGTGTTCTTCACCACTGACTGATGACGAAATCCACACTTCCCTTCAGAGACTCAGGCCACCCAGACCACCAAAAAACTGTCGTAAGGGGACTCTTCGGGCAGCAGTGAATAACATCTATGCAGTCAGTCCTCGGTTTGCTTCGGATAGGTCTCCAAGAGTTGATCTTGAATGAAAGCAGTATATCTCAAAGGCTACCGTGATATTAATCTCCTTGTTTTGCGTTATTTGTTCAGCCCGGATTCTCAGCTATTTGGGGTTCAGCTGATGATACTTAGTGCTTCTTATGGACTGTCAAATAGATGTATATACCACTTTCATATTAAATTCACCCTTTTTCAAACCAAATTCACCCTTTTTCAAACCAAATTCACCCTTTTCAAACCAAATTCACCCTCACTTTTCACATCAAATTAACCACACTTATTAGGGCGGGCAACTCATCAAGCAGATCACGCCAGACATCACTGCGAGCCTCGCCTCGACGGCCACGCCCACTTCTAGCGCAGACATAGGTTCTCAAATCTTGTCGTAACTTCTGATTCTTTTGCCTGTTTCGACACAAACGCCTTGACTGGAAGACGGGCCTGACAAATCGCCAACTCCGCCCATCTCTAAAGTAGGGCACTATTTACCCTTTACTGCCCCAGTCATCCGAAATCAGGCCAGTTCCTGACCGACTTTTTTCTCCGTGGGCAGATTTTGCTCAAATGTTGTCTCCTGGGGTAGTTTGACCTCCAGAATACGAATATCACATTCGCTCAGCCCGAAACTTCCTGGCGCCCGCGCCACAGGCGCCAAGCTGTACTCTGGTGATCTTGCGATGGTGCTCGTGAGCCGGCGCCGACGGCCAGCGGTTCGGTTGAGCGGGAGTGATATTCGTGTTCAGGGGGTCAAACTACCCCTGGAGCCAAGTTTTCAGCAAATTCTGCCCACGGAGAAAAAAGTCGGTCAGGAACTGGCCTGATTTCGGATGGCTGGGGCAGTAAAGGGTTGGCAATCGTATTTTTTCTTTTATTCTTCTAGGCTGACCACGCCCACTTGCTTTTCGCGGACTTTCGATATTTTTTCAAAATTTTTGCATTTTAGGGCTGCTGCGTGAAGCCCCGCCCACTTTGAGGAAGCCTCGCCCACTTTTCAAAAATGGTGCAACTCGGCAGTAAGAGACTTGGCTTGCATGCTGGGGTCTCGTTCGTCACTCGGAACAAGAAAATTCGGCAAAGTCTATTGATCAATGATCAGGAATCCCCTAGCATGCAAGCCAAGGCTCTATGCTGCCAATTTGAACCACTTTTTAGAAGCGGCGGGGCTTCTTCAAAGTGGGGCGGAGCTCTCACCGGTGGGCGGGGCTTCCACGCAGCAGCAGCAGTGCAAAAATTTTGAAAAAATATCGAAAAGCAGGTGGGTGTGGTCAGCCTAGATTGCCAAACCCTTTAGAGAATGGGCGGAGTCGGCCATGTGTCAATGCCCGGTCGTTTCCAGTCAAAGTGTTTGTGGGAAACAGCAAAAGCAGAAGTTATGAAACAAGATTTGAGAATCTATGTCCGCGCTGACAAGTGGGCGTGGCCGTCGGGGCGGGGCTCGCAGTGATGTCTGGCGTGATCTGCTTGATGAGTTGCCCGCCCTTAAGTGTGGTTAATTTGATGTGAAAAGTGAGGGTGAATTTGGTTTGAAAAGGGGTGAATTTGGTTTGAAAAGGGTGAATTTGGTTTGAAAAAGGGTGAATTTAAAGTGAAAATGGTATATATAGCGCTGTGTCATTGCAATGAGTTCTATTGAGAATCCTGGATGGGCATTAATGAACCTTTGTGCTGCCCTTTTGAATAGGCTCTTAGTGATGCGCTGAGCAGGGCACGTCGTACAGCGGGTGTTTTAAGCGAGGGAGGGGGTCGTATTCGGTCGCTCGAGAGAGGGCGTCGCAGCCACCTTCAATAAAAAATTTCGGTTCTTCCTGTCTCGAGTGCGCTATTTCCCATCATCCCCGCTTGACAGTTTATCGAGGGAAAAGATAGAGAATTTTCGGAAAGATGGCGGGTAGGATAGATAATATGGGGAAGGGTAGGGGTCTCACTAGAGGAGGAAATTTCGATGGAGTCGTATGCTGCAAATTTTTCGCTAATGGCAAGCTACCCTGTGTGGGGCAGAAAAAATGTCCGGGGGCCAACTGATCAGTGAAGAAGAAAGTGGAAAGAGTCATCGAAATTTCTTCTCGTGAGGCACCTACTAGTCTTCAAAGAGCTTCCGTACCCGGCGGAGGTGTCGCTAGCTGCTTTCCTAAGAACTAGGCTGATGACCGTGATTTTTGCTTCTTTTTGCGCATATCATCGAATTTTAAATTCTTTATTGTAACCTGACACAAATCGACACATATTGGTACGCTATGTGAACGAAGCAAAGAAGAACTGTGTATTCTCAAAAATCAGAATACAAAAATGAAAAAAATGATAGAGGAATAGGAATTCACATGTACAAGGGAATTACTTGTTCTTCATACGGCGCTGTGATCTAGTAGAAGAATATCGTTTTATGCGCTGCGGAAGCTGAGGCGTGTCAAAGGGGGCCGGGTTTGGCGCGGCGCCAGCTCATTCTCTAATTATTGGCGCTGCACCAAACCTCCCCCTCAAACGCCCCAGTCTGCTTAGCGAACAAGACTGAAAGTTTGATGTATGTTGCGAGTGAACCGGAGATGTGAGGTTCTGTTCCAGTACGAATCACATTAGTACAATCTCTGCAATCACAACATGTAAGCCGTCGATCGGATTTTCATGACAATTAGTAGTTTATACTTGGACTTTGGCACGAGCGACAAGAAAATCAATGTAGTGACTCGATCAATATGCATGTTTTACATAGGCTCCTCCACTCTCCTGGAGAGCGATGATTGCAACAATTTGTGAATATGATGACAGAAGCTGAATTCAGCCGGGTTATCTCTCAGGCATCAGCGTTGTCTCTTTTTGGCGGAAGTGATGGCGGTTCTGGCAGATTATGTAGTTAAGTAGAGTTTTTATTAAAAATTCGGGGATAAAATTGGCTAGTGCTCGTCATCGTTATTGTGATGACCGGTGAGTTCGCCTCGTGATCCGGTTTGGTGTCGTTTCATTCGCCAGTACTGTAGTCGCGTCCAGAGCTCTCTCATTGCCAAATAGATCATAGCGATATTTTTGACGGCGAAGAGACTCGGGTCGTAGTGTCTGCCTCGTTGTTGAACTTCTAGCAGGATGAAGAGATAGATTCGAAGTCCGAGGAATGGTCCATTTACCTGGAAATGGTAGTTCAAGTAAGGAGCAAATGGTGATTTCAAAGGAATTCAACGCTGTTCGGCTTAGGGGGGAGGGGTGAAATTGGCACATTCGTCAGTTCTTTTTGCTAGTTCACGTTAGCTAACAGGTTTCACCTTGTTTAGACCTGTAAACTCTCCTGAAGCAGCGAAGAAGTACAAAAGAGCCCACTTTAAGTACAGGACTTTGCAATATTTGACAAGGTACCCTGCGCAAACTCCGATATCAGCTGCCCCCACCAAGCCGAAAATACTCCGGAAATACTCACAATTAGCACGTAGAGCAAGCTCCAGACTTTATCACTGATATATAGGAGCCGTGGGTAACGTCCAAATCGAAGTTTCAGCAACGCGAATGTAGGCATGACAAAATTTACACATGCTACCGTCAATATAGTGATATCGAGCCATACAGGAAGATTCCATCCATCCTTCTGGAATAGTAATTATATGTTTTATTTTTTACTTTTTTCGAAACTTTTTACACAATTGTGGTACACTGAAAAGCGATGGAGATATATAGGTCTGGGATCATAAATATTCCACTGCTGCTAGGATCTTTAGTTGCTCCTTAGCACAAATTTGGCTGTAGTATTCTTACCCATTTCATGAAATTCCACGATAAACAGATGGCCGGGGACATGTAGTCGCTGTGCCTTTAGCGCGCTTTTTTTTACCATGTTCGAGGGAGGACGCACCAATGAGAATATTATAAGCTCCTGCCTATGCGATTGCCGCAGATTAGGTCTTGAAGTATCGCGATTCCCAGTGTCATAATACGACCCCCTGCGTTTTCTGGCGGAGGTGTAGCACAGCACCGTTACTTGTTAAAAGTTACGAGGGGTCGGTTCCTTTAGCACATGATGACGAAGAAACTACCATTGTCATTATTCAAGACGTTTCAATACAGTCATTAACGATTTAGACTCGAAACCCCTAGAATGTGGTAGGCGTGGCTGCGTACTCCACCTAAGCGCGCACAGGCTGTGCTTTTTGAGATGTATTTTTCATTCTGAGAGTTGTGGTCGTATCTCAGTCCAGTACAAAGCAGGAGAACAGTTATTTTGATATCCCATGAGTAACCCGTTCCGTGCCACGTGTGAATGCCACGCCTACCCTGTCTCCGGGATATGGAGTGTAGGTGACGTCTACGACACGTCTCCTATCTCTCCTCTCTTAGAAGATCTACCTCTTAGAAGATGACGTCCTGGATCTCGTACGTGCGCTGTATGCGCCTTTCTATCCATTATCTTTCTCCTGCTTATATGTCACTTCGCGGCCATCCGTACCTGTGTAACATTCTCCTTCTCTGTTTCTCTCTCTCTTTCGTTTTTCATTTCAAGGTATTAATAATTTTTCCTTTTTGGACATTTGTTGGTTCAGACCCATTCTTACCCTTTTCACCCCAAGTCGCGTCACACTCCCTGCGTCACACTTAGGCGTCTTGCACTTTACCATGTTCCCTTGCATAATGGTAGACTTCCCTCCTTTTTCTTCGTCGGCAGTGTTTGCTGGTTTTCCAAAACCCGCGAACTAGTCAGTTTCTGCACGTATTGAAACCCAACTGCCTGGATATTCCACTGCGATAGACTACTGAATTTGAGACTTTTATTACAATGGCTGCTCTTCACCGTCAAGTCACGTCTCGAACGTTATCACAAGAATGCTGAGGGTGAGCGAGTCTTGACCCCAGGAGGGACTCGAACCCGCACCTTACTCTCTCCGTGTAACTGCTCTAACGTTGCTGTGCGTGCATGAGGTGTAAGATTCAATAGAAACCCGGGCCCGGGATCGACACTTTTACCCATAGCACACCATTCCTGCAGTGCGAAACTGTCCGCGCAAATAGGACTACCACGTCGAGCATCGAATTGTGTCGAGAAGTGATTGAATGAATCAAACTTTTATTACTTACACTTACTTATACTTACCATCTCTCTGTTTACACATCTTTCGCAGTTTTTTTTCCAAAGAATTGTGCCACTTTCCTCCCAAAAAACTGTCGTGAAGGAGGGTATGTTGCGCTGCAGCTCACGTGAAACGAGAAAACCGGAAAGTTCAACAGGCAAGAACATTTCCCTCAAAGGCAACAACGACCGATCCCACCCTCCAGCGACTGACTACGACCCCACCTCGTTGGGGATCCCGAACGTTCGACGTGGCCCGACGAGGCTATTGATCGGCAAAGGCCCGTTATTTTAAATCAAGAAAAGAGTATAATAGAAAGTCTACAAATTGCTACGTAAGAAAGGAAAGGATAAAACTCACGAATGATTGCCAAAGAAGGTCGAGGAAGTAAATGTTGTCGACGAGATCAAGACAAATGGCAGTAGTCAGATAAGTAATGTAGAGCTGGCGAGCGCTCATCAGTGGCGTGTAGTGGTGAGCCTCGAGCAGGAATAAGAAAATCAGCACCGACAGTGAAAGTCCAAGTTTGAAAAGGTGATCGTCGAAAAGTTTGTCATTATTGTCCAGTGGTCCGGGTGGTAGCTGAAATTGAGAGGGATTGTTCGAAGAACCTCGTACAGGAGGCCCTATGGGTGATATCGGCGCCTTCTGCCACTACACCATTCTAGCAGCT